GATATTATTCCTCTTGAGTTTCATGGCAGCGGTTAACATACCGTTGTCTGGCGTCCACTCTTCGGCACAGATCATGATTTTTGTCGGTATTTCTATGCGTTTGAGTTTGTAATGAAGGCCAGAGTCGACAATGTCTTTGTGGACACAACACGTGATTTGCGGACTTTTGCAGAGCTCTTCGTGTGTCACATGAGATAACTGCAAATCATTAGCTAATGAGGCGAGAGATTTACGGTTTGGTATCACTAATGCTATTAAATAATTGCAGAATTTGTCTCCAATTATACATATGTTGTCCACATATAAGCAGTTCTTCAGACACGACTCGATCTGTAATTAGATTTAGTATTAGTTTTTGTTTTGAAATTTATATTCATCACAGAATTTATGTACATGTTATGGTTTATTCCGTAAATTATATTTGTTTTTATTTCAAAAATTTGAATTATTTTAATATTTGTTTTGTAAACAGACATCAAAACAAGCAATTCATGAATATTTTATGAAAATATTTTTTTTCTAAACAAAATTGCTATAAATCTGGCAAAAATCAAGGTTTGGTTTAAATTTTTGAAAACGCATTTTGAATTTAAATAAATTAAATAAATTTAACGACTGGAAACTTGTATACAATTTGCTCGCAAATCAAAGCCAATGTTATTGTGATCAATAATTGCATTTAAATCTCATTTTAATGATTATACGGCAAAAATATATGTAGAAAATAGGGGTTCATTAGTTGACAAACAGATATTGTATTGCATTTAATAATCAAATAAATTGTAGCAAACATTTCAATGGATAAGTTGTATAACTTTTACGGATTGATATCTACACTGCATTTTCCGCAATAATATTTGTATAAAATGTAAATTTTATACAAAACTCAATACTAATATCAAACAAAAATAACCCTAATATAAATTTTAAATAAATATATACAACAACAACAAACATCTATTCACTATACAATGAACACACTATTGAATTTAAAACTCAACAAAAAAGTAAAATAAATTGTAAAACACACTCAAAAAACTTCACTCACTTTTCCCAATGAAAAATACTCTCCGTTTGAGAGTTTGATTAAATCCTTCTTACGATCAATGATTTTAAAGGAGCCGTCGGTAAACACTTCGCCGATATCTCCAGTCCTGAACCAACGCATGCCATCAGCGGTGCCGCCGGTGAACGACTCGTCAGTCAACCACTTATTATTATAATAACCGGTCGCCACTCCATACCCGCCCACAATCAACTCACCCCTCGGGTGGGGCTTATCGGTGGCCCGATAGCCACCGTCGGGCCAGTCATCCAAACGAATTTGTATATCCTTGAGAGGGGCGCCGCACCGGCCGGTCGACAGGTCTGTGTCGTCCATACAGAGTACGGCGCCAAACGTTTCGGTCGTGCCGTAGCCCTGGACTAGCGTTATGTCGAGCGCCGACTTAATCAACCGCTGCAGGTCTGGCGATAGGGCGGCGCCGCCCACAACCATGTGCTCGAGTCGGCCGCCAAACTGTACCCTCACTTTCGGACACACGACCCGATTGACGATCGGCGAGTCGTAGCCGCGCGCAGACCACCGGTGCTTATAATCGGTCAGATACGTGAATATGGGCGCCGATACCGGTGTGCGGGCCCGCAGTTTGTGGTAAATCTCTTTGCGCATCCGGTCCAACACCAATGGCACAGTGATCATGATCGTCGGTCGCAGTAGTTTCAAATCGCAACACTCGCCGTCGGCCAAACCGGGCGCCGACTCGTTCAGCGTGAAGGGCGACCCGAATCCGATGGGAACGCCACCGATGAACGCGTAGTTCTCAATGGACAGCTCCAGAGAGTGTGATTGCGGCAGATATGCGATATACATGTGCTTCTCGGGCTCGTCGAAGAACTTCTCCATCGCCGCCGATGTGGACACTCCCGCTCTGACCAACTGAGCGCCAGTCATCTCAATCCCTTTCGGCGGTCCCGTTGTGCCCGAAGTGTATGATATCTGAGT